TTAATCACTTTTCTTCTTCTATATTAATTACGTAGCATTCCTGGCATTTCTGAGTTATTCCAGTATTGGACGTAAATCATTAAAGGTTCATAGCAAAGATGTATGTAACAATATCTCAATTACAATTCCATAGAAAATATACTTCGCATCAAGTTTACTTAATGAGCACTTATGGACTTGAACTAAATCAACTATTCACAGACAAATATAGATAGGAATATAAGTTAGCGATATACGCAATACATCTTAACGCAAAAGTTTGTTTAGTTTCGAGTAAATGAAATGGTACGAAGGAGTAAGAATATTCTTGGAATAAATTAATTGTATAGGAATTTATAGACAGCAATTACTGCTGCCCCACTTGCCCTTGAACGAGCTTTTTGAAAGTGTTCATTCTAACTTATTAGTCGTTGTCTGTTTGCCCGGCATATTCCCCCAGTAGGAGCATGCCCTGTACTTTGATAAGTTTAATTAACTAATGACTATAATCACTGATCTGAACCAACCACGCCCGACGCAAGACTCGCCGGTCAAGTCCAGCCCGCCCACTCATGATGTAAATCATTACCTTGACACCGCAACGTAGTCCCATAAGTTCGCAGAAAAATTTGAAATCGTGAGCGCGGCGACTTTCATTATAGGTGTGTAAACTAACTGAAATTCCAGGTAACCAAAATCTGAAAGTTTGATGTATTGGTGCATAATATTAATTTTAATCTTGGTCCGATTATAACAGTACCTCCAAATTTGTGTCTTTAGCTGATATGTTTTAATGATTTTTCAAATTATATATTTCTATCTATTTTATTCTGTTTAATCATGATTCAAAAGAAGAATGTTCTTCCAACTTATATTTTTTCTGCTTATCTTGCAAACGAAATCCCTGACGATGACCTGACTCGTTCGAAGTTCTTTTTCTTCACTAAAGTTGCTACGGCAAACACAATCATGGAGACTCCGGCAATCACGACAATCACAATGCCAGCGATTGCTGCAGTATAGGCAATCGAGAGTCCGGATTGCACTTTTCCATAGTTGTGAGAAGATTGGTTGTTGTTGCGTCCGTTGATGGGTGGATAGAAGAGGGTGTGGAGCTGGAAGACAAAATGGTTGTTGGCCTAGAAGTGGACGTAGGTCTGGTGGTAGGAAGTTTGGTTGAAGTCGTGGTGGTTGTCCAAGGTTGATGAAATTTTGACTACATCGCTAGTTCTGAAACTCGAGGTTGCTGCCGCTCCCGTTCTAATCGTCACTGCCTGAAATTGTCATGAACATTTTCAATCCATTTAGCGCTTAAGATTTTTTGAGAACAACACATTTATTATGCTTTAAATAATCAATTATTCGATTGTATGAGATTAATTGAGTTCAATTTATCTCCACTGTTGAGTGTTTTGAGTAAAGTAATGCATGTGTGTAAATTAATGTATATAATGTAATTCAATCGTAAATTAATGTTTCAAGTGTCATCGGTGGCGATCGATGTTGTGAATGTCTATTTATAATAATTATACATAATTAAAGTGTGACCTAGAATCGAATTATTGGGAACAATGTTGTACCTTTCACATGGTTGCTAATGCGGTTAAATGAATGATTAGTCACAACGGGGCTGTTTATTGGAGAGCAAGCTGATGACTAAAACTTGAAATTCATTTAAGCACTAGGGCTTTTTGTATCAACACCGGTATATTTTTTTCGAAGCAACACCATAAGCTTTTTCGAAACAAGATCATAAGTTTTTTCGTGTCTATCTAATGTAGGTTTGGTATCAACACCGTACGGTGTTTTCATATCGACAACACAAGGTTCTTCGCATCAACACTATAAGCTTAGTCGTAAAAATACCGTAAGGTTTGTCTTATAAACAAAGTAAGGTTTGACGTATTAGCAGCACAAGGATTAAGGTATGAAAGTGTTTCGGGGCGCGAGTGACAATCTCTTGGTCTCAATGTAGTGTTTTAAAAACAGATCAGACTATTTTTTTCGGCTGTTCGTCATCAAAATCCAACTCTGATTTAAATATTGTTTCGAATAATGAATATTACCGAAGCCTTTTGGACGAGCCTTTTCTGCACCTGCGAACTAAATGTATGCCAGATCCAGTCGGTGCCCGTTCGCGTGCGAGCGTCCGTACGTGTTTGTTTTGCTATTCGTCAGCATTCGTTCTCGATTGCTAAAATTTACGATTTAAACAACCGCATGAACTTCATATTTGCATTTCTTTCTTCTTAATAGTCTAATGTAAGAAATCATGTGAACGTTCAATTCAAATTTAATTATGTGTCACTGGTATTATTTTGACGGCGCGGGCAGGGTGGCCCGGTGGTTACAGTTCAGAGTACCAAGATTGGAGCAGAGAGGCGCGGGTTCGATCCCAGCTCTGCGCGCCAGTTTCTAGTCAGAATCGGCAAGGAGGCCGGGCGGTTAAGCGAAGAAAAGTTGAAGCAGTGAGTTGCGAGTTCAAGACCGCAACAAGCTGTGGATATTCTGAAATGTTAAGAATAAGCGGCAGGCCTACGGCCTAATGAACGCTGAAACCGCTATATTATATTATAACTTGTATCATTGCCGGTATGTGAATCGTGTTAGCCAGGAAACATTATGATGTCTTAGGCAGGAGATAAGGTCTGAGAAGGATTACTAGGATCAGGAACAAAGCAATACCAGGGGCCAGAGCTAGAAACTAAAAAAACAGCGTTGCAACTAATCGACGCGACAAAACTGTCGTCTCGCTTCGAGGCACCAACTAGTGGAACAGCCTCCCGGATTACATCTTTGACGCTTCGAGTATAAACGCGTTCAAGAGCATACTAAATAAAGCTATGGAGAAATATATGTTCAGACTTGAAATGACTAGCACCATGTCGAACTTGATGGAAGTCTACTAACTATTTCAATCTATCGTTAGTTTTGAAAAGTTCCGGTCAAAGGACCTGTTTTTAGATCTCCTGTGAATAAGTCACAAAACGTACAAGAATCGGCGACAGGCCACATCACGCCTATTCTTCAGCGCCGACATCACAATGTAATGATATATAAGAAAATATCTTCTGGAATTCCCTCGCATACCACAGTTTGGGTACCACTACTTTAAAAAATTGCTCTTTGAAAAGCTATCGAAAAATCGCGATCATCTACAGTTTTCCCGAATAACGGAAATACGAGCAAATCTTTCACAGCTATGAAGAACTAGACTGGAAGATGCATATACCTTATCATTACCAGGAAAGTATTCAATTTTAAGTGTTTATTTTTATAAACTAAACTATAGCATTGTTTAAGAATATTAATAGTTATCTTCTGCAAACTAGAGAAAGGAAAATTTTATTTATTGTCCATAGCCGTGAGTTAAGTGCACCTTAATCTCATATTAACTCTTCATTGCTTATCGATGTCGTTTACACTACTATACTGGGTATGTAGACTATTGTATGTTCTCTATGGCTGTAGATGCTTACCAATAAGGATGCATAGATTGGAAAGCCGTTATCAGTTAATTCAATACAATCGAAAGTTAATAGCATCTCGTTTTATTTTTCTTCCATTTTCCAATGTTTTGGTAAATTTCGATGTGGCAGCGTTCCTCATAGCAGAGAATACACAAAAATGATAATGTTTGGGTACACAACGCTGATATTGTCACCATTAGTTGATTATCGATAACTTTTTGCATTATTTCTTCGGATGTGAAGGAGGAATTTTTTTCCACGAACATTATTACCCACGATTCTAAATTTCCTTAGTATGCTCTGTGTATTCAGCGAGTTACAGAAACAGGCATTGATGGTAAATCACGTGTAAATTCAATTGCCCCTCCCTTCCTCTCACTGCAGAGGAAGGGTGGGGCGATTTTTTCATCACATAGTCAGACCCGGCCAGAGCTGCCCCGGATACGGGAACGACCCTAATAGGTACCGCTCAACGGCCGGCAGAGTAAGGACCAGGCTCTCGCAGCTGTCTGACTTGGGATTCTAATGCAGCCCAAAAAGCGGACATAGAGAAGCTGATTTACTATGCTCCCCGAGTCCTAGGCGTTCCCTAATTCAAAGCCGCCTTCGGCTTTAAATTTTGTTAGGGTTGAAGCCGACTGACGTTAACTTGTGATAAGGACGAACTAGTGTTTCACGTAACCTGTATTGATATTGTTTGTTGTTCTTAGCGCTAAAACCGGGACTATGTAGAATTCCATGTTGAACTCTTATGCCACGATCCACTGACAGTAGATTCGCTTCGTTTTATCAAAATATTCTCAAAATTTATGCATCATCAGCAACGGTTTCCATCACCGTCGTTGCATTGTAGTCAGAATCAGCAAATATAGCACGGGGCAATTGTTCTGAAAAGAGTGATGCCCAACCTCATCCCTAACAGAGCAGATTTTCATAAATAGCATCAAAAGCCTGACCCAGTCATTGAGCTTTTTAATTAAAAATTTTGGCCATATTTAATCATTATTAATTTATCAAAACTCATTATCATATACTTACAAATTTTGATCAATCGATCGAGTCAGAGAAAAAATAATCTAAAAATTTTCATATCTGGTTTCTATCAGTTTATTTTGCACTATAATATGCTAAAAAGTACTATTCTTCAGAACGAACCTAATTTTTGATTATTTTACTTATATTGTCAATGATTTATCATGATGATAATTTAAAATGGGGCCATGTGATACAAAGTAATGACATTGAATTCGAGAAGAGCATCCCTGACTTCGACATAGCCGGTCATTCAAAGTTGTCATGTGAAGAGCGTCTTCAACGATACATTGGTTTCCTTTCTAATACTGGAAGTGATTGTTCATATTTCTTATACAATTGGAATTTTTTGTATCATTCATTTTGCAATATCAAATGACATAATAAACGCTCCTTTTTAAAGTAATCCATTTAACATATAGTTAATTGAAGTAAATGATAATAAGCAATCAATTTTTATCTGAGTCGATTCATAGTTAAACAAATCATTCTACAGCGAATGGCTTATGTCAAACTCACCGGTCTGTGCGGTCGTGACGCCACAGTTTACTGTCATTCCCTTAACATCACCCGCTGCTACAGCACTGACACCAAAAGTGTAATTGGAATATGATACAGGATTGTCCACGACGTATTGAGTCGTCGAAGCGTCCACGGATGAGTCGTTGTTGAATGTTTCTCCAGACCAGATCACGTCGATCGTGGTGGCAATATCGTATTTGACGACGGTGCAGCCGCTGACGGGGTTGGGAGCATCCCACCTTACCTTCAGACTCAAGTCTTCAGCATTCTGGACGCACACCAAGTGGTCGGGAGCTGGCAGGTTTAGAAACATATTCATTAATCTGGACGCAGAAAATACTTTTGTGTAAACATATTGGCGTGTGCTCCAAGGCTTTTTAATTTTATTTAAATATTATTACTATTTTTTGTAGAAGTTTAAAGTTGCGCTAGCATAATGTCAATGCAGTGAATTATACGATGTGTTCGGAGACAATACATATGATTCTTTATATTATGGCATGATGCGGCACGAAATTTTTTTGTAAAAATAAGTTACTAAATATATCATGCAAAATAATGGCTAGTTTTTTACCGATAGTGATAGTCGCCCCATGAGTTTGGGCCGGGGTCCCTTCCCCTGCTGCATTCCTGGCAGCCACGGTAACGTTGTACTCGGTGCAAGGCGTCAAGCTCCCGATGGTGTAAGAAATTTGATCAGTGGTGAGAAAGTCGTTGGTCTGGTTGTTGGGGTACCACCGAATGATGAAATCTTTTATGTCGCCGTTCATTTCTGTCGGATATTTCCATGCGATGCTTAGGCTCTTCGCTGTATTTGCTGTCACTTTCAGCGACACCGGGGCGGACGGGGCTGAAAATTGATCAATATAATAAAGAGCTAAAATTCTCTATGGTGCCCTATCTGGTTCTATCGGAGTTCATTTCCATGATATCTTCTAACAATTCATTAATGCAAAACCACAGGTATGGCAGCTTCATTGCATCTTTGTGCGAACGAGGAACAAGTAGATTCAGCTGCAACTAGCAGGTTTCCAACTAAGCATGTTTTTCCAAACACCAGTGTCGATGCTAAATCCTTGAACTATCAACAGCGGCGCACAATAACTCATTTAAAATGGTGCATCATTTTAGTTTTGTTCCTACAAATTTAGCCACCCATTATCACAACATTTTGCATTAATCTGAAAATGTCCATTATTTGGGAAGATATTCATATGTTTATCGATTATACGTCGTATATCTTATAATCGCAGATACTCGACAGATATCTACCATCAATGATGGCTTTGCCTACAGTAGCTATACTTACGCTCTTCTTTTGTTTTCAGTGGACACGAGCGAGGTTCACCAGGACCACAGCCTTTCACAACGGCCCTCACTTCGAAGATGTAAAAAGTGTATGGGATTGGCCGCTGAAGGACGTATTCCAACGTCGCCGCGTCGACGAGAGAGTAATTCTTGCAGAGTTCCTCGGACCAGATGACAGCGGCTGTATAGTTTACGCTATACTGCGAAATTTCACAAGTCGTTGATGGTGCAGTCCAGTGCACCTTGAGGCTCAAGTCCTCTTCTTGTGAACAGGATACGTCCGGAGGAGCTGTTAACAAAGATGAACTAATATTATTTAAAGCTGCAAACGTCCCTCGTATACACTTTAAAAATTCTGGAACTAAACTATCGTAAATTCACCAATTTATTATTTAAAAAAAACATGGGAATGGTTCCATGTAACTCATTTATATCAAACTACAGTTCTTCAACATTTTCCCGAATGTACTAGAAACGTTTACGAGACTGATACACAAATGTCACAAGTCCATTCTCGGGGTTACATCACGCCATGCATTCACGTTGATCACAACTTTAAACTGCAATAATTATTCAGGGTAACCGCCACATTTCTTCCCACCTGCAAGACCTGGACACATAACATCAGAAGCCTCCGGGCCGATACCAGACCCGTCTGCTCTCAGAGGCTGCACCGCGACGGTGACCGCAGCGCAGCTTCTTAGGGAGAACCCATCGCATGAAGAGGTGTCGGTGGCGGGGGCGTCAACCAGGCATGATTGGTCGGGTTGTTCGTCCGAGTGCCACGTGACCAAAAACTTGGTTACGGCATTGGTGGAATTTTTCATTTCCCAAGCTACGTGTATTCTACCATCCCGCGACACGAGCTGAAGGTCGACCACTTCATCTGTCTCGTGCCAGGAAGAGAGTAGGGACACCAAATGTGACTTCTTAATTGGCTCTTAATTGGTTTTTAATTGGCTCTTAACTAAATCTTAATTGGCTTAAAAATTCAGCCACTAACCTGACGCTGTCGTCACTCACCTCGGGCAGCAATCTTCTAAACATACTTTTCAACTAGCGTTATTGAAATGGCTAAGTTTAGATAATAATAATACAACGCCTAATTAATCTTAGGAATATGGCAGGTGGCATCGGCTTTACGGTGTAGGCTTCAAAAAGAGCTATCAGTAAGCCTCATAGCCTAAAATAAATATTGTATAGTCCAAAACGAGTCACAAGGAATTACTCGTACATCTTAAATCGCTACACGCTACTCATATTCTGCGTTAAAAATTTTTCACCTATAACTTTTCATACTTTTATTGATTTAAACATATGTGTAATAACGTATGAATATGTATAGACTGAACAGGCAAATCCCATTCCCAGTCAGTCTATCCAAACATTATTTCAGGAACGAAATTTGTTTCGATAATGACGCTAAATCTAATAAATCTAAATAAACTTCTGATGGAGCTTAATTCCTCACCTTGACCTCTGGCAGCCAAAATCTGTAATGAACAGAATGAACTTTAACTGTAGAACATCCTTCGAATTAAAAATGTTACAATTCCTTAACCACTAAATACAATAGGCGTTATATTGTCACTTAATTGCAGCGCAAATAGAAGGACTAAAAAATTTGTCTCAACTTTTTTAACGATTTTATCTGAAGGGAAATACTATGATAACCTTGGAAGCATTGCATGCAGTTAAGTTGTACATGTGATAAGGTAAATTCTCAATCCTATTCTACAAGTGAATATATCGATACATGTTGAAGATCAAGCAATCCAAACAAACCTATATTAAAAAGCACCCCATTAAAATATTTGTTCTCAATTCAAAGAAAATAATTATGCTTCATTAGTAAACAGTTAAATTAATTTTCAATGAACAGCAAATTTTATGTAGATTCATTTTACAATTTCTAACGTTCGCATTGCGATGACACAGAATTCTAAAATAATATATAAGATTCTGGCAAAATTTCATAACAAAATTTTCTGTGACAACGCGCTTGCTCAGCTACTATGGATATAGAATGTTATGTTTCGATGTAGCGTAGTTTTAATCATCATGCAAGGTTCATTGTCGATATCTCATGCATTAACCATCATTAACGAAAACTCTGAGGAATACTATACAATTAGCGCAAGAATGATACAATATTTTTTGACTTATGATCGATAGTGACCAACCGACAATTATTGCTTCCAAAAAATGTATATAGTCTTCCTTAAACTTCGTTTACGTACAGAGCGTCGACTTTTTTCTATCATCCAATATAAATAGAAATATATGCCTTTTTCAATTACCTTTAGATTTTCCAGTAACTTTTTCACAATTTCTGGCTGCAAACTTGGACCAAACCGATTCCTTTACAAGTGTATCGAACAGCAGATGAGAACATGAGTCATATCTCGTTATAATATCTACAAATTCTGACTAAGTCTTCCAACTAATTTAGCCTCAAAATGCTGGGTGAAATCTGCATTTTGAGGTCAGCATGTTTGACCACAATAAAAAATTCAGTACATAAAACAGACTGTGTTCTTGCGAAAAAAATTAACTTGAAAATCATGAATTGAAAATAATGTTTAATATCAAAGCGAATAGAGTAGCAGCGTCCGTCATCTTTGATACAGTGAAATTAACACACAAAATTATGCACATTGTTCTTTCCTCATGAATTGTCTTCAGGACCAGATGAAGGCCTAATTACATTGTAACTCACCTGGTAAATTATGCTAAAACTCTCAAGCAACAGCTCCTCCTATATGTGTTCGTTTGCAAGATATTGAAATATTTTCAGTTTCATAACTAATTTTCATTATATAATTTAATTCGCTGATGCATTAATAATATAATCTGTCTCATGATTGCATTTACTAAAATTTCTTTCGTTCTAAACATATGTTTAGAACGTTTTGATCTCTCACAATTCAAATAAACATATACAAGGCAATGTAGACTGTCGTCCAAGCTAAAAAGGCTCGAATTAATCACCTCTATAACAGGCAAAAAAAACTAGACACTCACCAGTTCTGCAGCGACCAAAAAGATGCCAAAAAGTGTTGACCGGCGGCTCCGCGTCTCCATCGCTTTATTTCGAGTATGGGTTTTAAACTTGTAACCCCTTGAGATATTATTTTACAGGCGATAAAGTTCTTGTTTGAATTTTCTTGTTAAATTATTAATTAAGATTATTGTTTTAATCACGCACTCTTCGGGTTGTCATCTACATCCCAGGTGTCCCAGCACACTGAAGGTGGGACCTAATTAATATTCGTATCTTATAACACTGGCAGGCTCGTACAACACGATCTCATAACGATAATGATAACAAATTAGCATTACTTTTATAAAATATATCGCACCCCATATCAGAGCTTCTGTACATAACGTGCTGCAACGAAAGATGAACCGGAGATAAGAAGTCAGATAAATCGTTTATCATTTAACAGCTGTACATTTCTCCCATGCAATACTTAATTAAATTTGTCAACAAAGTGAGAGTAAAATAATTTTTATTCCCTCAGACGACACTAATTCAGAATATCTGTATAGCGTCTTGACAAGAGTTAAGTTGAGAAGTACAATAATCTATGAAAGGGGTTTCATGAGCACAATATTATAATTTTTCAACCAAAAATTTGAGTGAAATTTGCATAATATTTCATAAATAATTTTTACGGTTAGTGACATAATTTTTTTCATTATACGGCAAATATTAAAATCGAGGATAACAAGTTATGAATAGTTTCATCGATTCAGAACGAGCAATTATTTCAATGGTAATTCAACTAGAATTCCTGCTTCCATTGAAGATTCTCCGGAGTATAAGCGCGTATAGTGGCTCCTTTAACGAATCCAGACTGGGAATCAATTTCCGAGGAAGGCTGTCAGAATGATATTCACTATATAGAGGATGCTACCTGAAATATGTCATCGAATAGATGTTAACTAAATGGCGGCAACCGAAATATTTTGAACTAAAAAATGTGCTACATAAAACTAATTTTCCGTAAAAAAATTTTCCGTAAAAAAATTCAAAACTTCTGATTGATTTCAGTAATGCGCCATTATGCAATCCAAAAATCTCAGTCTTCTCTCTGCAGTCTTCTCCTCCATTAGTTCTCCTCTTCTCCATTTTAATTCTATTTGTACATTTTATTTACATGGTCGCTAGATCATGAGATCGAGAATGGATGAAGATGATGAGGATGAATGATATGTGATGGCGATGAAGCAATGAGGGGCTTCGGATGAGTCGCTCGTGACTTTGAGGTGCAAGTTATTTGGTTTGGTATTGGTTGAGGCGGTCGTTCTCGGTGCGTCTTAGTGGCAAGGTGAAAGTCGGATTTTGGGTCGCCGCACCTGTACGCGATGGCTTGCAACTATCGCCCAGCTGCAGTGTGGCCCGTCCTGAAGGTGGTGTGAACGCATGAAGACAGACGTCATTTGGGTGCAGTTATATGTGATGTATATGGTCACTGGCAAGAGTTGCATCAACCGCCTGGTAGTAATAATGGTCACGATATTACTCGCTGGATGGATGAAGATCTCATTCAGTAACACAACAAACCATCGTCTGAAGTTTCACAGAAAAGTGAACGTTGCACTCTCCTAACACGAATTACGTGCTTTGCGACCAAGCTCAATTTTACAGATGAATACCATGTATATATATGGTGTACTCACCAAGAATTGCGAGCGTAAATCCTTACTTTGGCATTTTTCCCACTCATCGCTTATATCGTTAATTTCATCTGCTAGCACAATCGTTCTCATTGGCTCCCTTCTTCCTTGACTCCCCTTCCACACTCACTCTTTCCCTCACTCACCCCTTTCCTCAATCAGTCTTCTCCATGGTGGGAGCCGAGTGAAATCTTTTCTCTGATTGATGGTATTTTCATGCATGATTACGGTATCATGCAGGCTACAGAGCATGAACTCTACTATCAGAAAATAGTCATTTCGCAGCTGACCACGTTTAATGGCTTTAATTATTGCTCTGTAAATCAACAAAATTTATTCTGCAAATACGATTTTTGGGTTATCGTGGGTACATTTGTACAGAAAAGAATTCTTTTTATAGTTCTTGCTTCTTTCGTTCATCACTGCACCTGAACCTCTTAATATGTATTAAGATGTTCAGGTACATAATTTTACATAATAATAATAATTTACTATTATTATATTATTACATTATAATAATAATTCTATATATACTAATTTTAAAAATATATGTAAAATTATGTATTTTGAACGAAAAATTGGTAAATTTCTTATTTATTAATCAATTTTTTCCAATAGGTGTATATTTTTGATCATATGTCAGAGAACACGTTTTTGAAATATTAGATGAATCCGGTATATGATCCAAGTTGGGTTTTCAAGTTGATCAGACTCAACTCACTGGTTGTACTTACTTGGAAATATATTTTTCGTGTAATTGAATAAAATTAGCAAATATACTACGAAATCCAGAATTTATGAAACGGAAATGCAATTTTAAAAAATCTGTCTGCAGCTTAATTTTGTATCAACGACTCATGGAGGGTATCATGAAACTATCACAAGCGTGATGATATTACGTTGACCTAAATTGTCAACAGTTGAAAGTTAGTGGTTTTATTTCGCTAGTAATTATGATAAAAGGTCAACTACCTTTATCGCTATAACCAACTATCTAGGAAGGATGAGAACTTATTGCAGAGAGGCAAACAAACACTGCTCTATCCCAATGCCGTCAGAAACATATGCGCAACAATTTATAATATAATAATTCCATTTAATTATATCTATGAGCTCAGAAAGAAGGCTGACATCGAAAAATTTGGTTCTTGATTGACTGAATAAAACCGACATAAACTCAGTTTAATATTTTTGTCATCATCTACGCCTCTAATTGACACATACTTTCTCGAATAATGTCAATTAGGCGGTCTGTGCCAAATTTTAGTGGTCTCATGCACTCACCCTTGCCTGATTCGGCTCTTTCTATGTAGCCCGCACTAGGGTACCTGCTGAGGGAGTTGATCCGAGATATTTCTAACTATGTTGACAAGTTTCTTAGCACAATGCCTCATGTGTGGGAAATTTTTCCAACCATTAATAATTTTTGTAGTCGTTTGTAAATTTGTTGGCTATATGTCGTTTTCTGTTCATGTTGCATTCGCAGTTTTGTTGTATTCAGTTTAGTTACGTAGTTTAAGTAGGTAGCAGAATCCGCTAGGTTAGAGGAGTCCTTTCTAAGCATTCATTATACCGTTCCGACGTCCGATCTCGGAACGTGCCTTAATTATCTCAAACGCAGCATGTTCACAATTATTCAATTCTGGTCAATATTCACTTCTGCCAGCACTGCAACAGGAGCTACTGCTATTCTTAATGTCTTCCTGGTTACTGTTTCACTATCTTTTTGTTGGTGTGAATGTTGCTTTTTTCATATTAATTATTTACGCTCTATGTACAATTTTTTCTATGGTACTTTGGACAAATCAATATTCAATTCAATTGTTAAAGTTTCAAATTTCGAATTAACTACGTGGTCTCTGATATTGGCAGAGGGACTAGTTTCCTTTGCTGTGACCCACGATTAATCATCTTTATCTTCAATTTTCCAACGTCAAAATCTCTTAACTGTCCTTTTCTATTTTTCCGTCTGGAGTACCTCCCTTTAACTGATTTCGTCTATATTTCTAATTTGCCTCTTACAAACTGCATTTAAGCACTAAGATGCACCAAAGTCTTAGGTTTGTCAATTTAGTTATTTGTTGATTATTAATTGATTCATAATTTGGAATTGTTTGCTACATAGCTAGTTTCTGATCTATTAATTGTTTAGTAAGTAGTTTAATTTTCATTTCAGTATCTGGGACTGGTCGGGGCAACACCATTAAGGAAATTTTTACTGCTGCAAACGAAATTACTTCATTGAACCGCCGTTCTTCTACTACTGCATTTAAACTCTTGCATTCAGCTTCCTCTAAAAAACGCCAGTCGCACGTTCAGATAAATTTGAATAAATATCAGCTGACTCTATTCTCTTTATTTATCCGATTGTGTGAGACAATCTTTGTTACTCACACATTCACGAATTCAAGGCATTTCACTGACGCTTAAGGGCCATTCTTACTGAGCGTACAAGTTTAATAGCAGGTTATTTTGGACTACGTCGTGAAATCCATTTACAGTAAGGTTATACCTGAGTGCACGGATTTTCAGGCAATGGTTGATTTCAGGTGCTTTTCACCGCTGCCGTTAACGTCCATCCGACCTTCGTGCGGTGGCAGTTAGTTAATTCACAACGTCCGTACCTTCTTATTCTTTCCACCACTTCATCATAGGAAAGTTAATATTCGGGTTTCCCACTCCACATGTGGGCACACTCATTTGGAATTGGATTTGGTGACAAATATGTCCAACATATTGCGGCTGAGCAAGAAATACCTGACATATCGATAAATATCACAATTAACGGACTTGTCGAAATAGAATATGAGTCGCACAATTCCTGAAAACTGATGTGCATAAATTTCCCTTATCACAACTTTTAATACATAGTTCATCCATTTTTGTTACTGCGCATACGCTGCAAATAAATAGCTGAATATGCAAGGAAAAATTCAGTTTTTATCTAATTTGCGAGCGGAGTGACAAGGAATTTACTTTGTGAAGTGATCTCATACCAACCACTCGAGTCTGTCTGAGGTCTTGCGTGTGCTGAAGGCGCTGATGAGCGTGAAGAAGGCTACAGGAATTAAAGCTAAATATTTGGCCTGTTTATTCTCGTAATTATCTACATGCTCGAGGCGATAGCCTCATGTTCTGTATACATACAACCGTTGTGTCGCTGGCTGCGATTACGCCGATATCGCGACCGTAAATTTCGATTCATGCAAAGGATTCATTTCGATATTGCAGCTGTATGTTGCGATTAGTTGAACGCTGCCACCGCCAGTACTGTCCACTGTAAATCCCTCTTCTGTACCAGTACATCGTAATCATGTCTTTCAGCAGCAAGCTTTCAGCTGTATATGTATCGCTATCGCTCATTATTTTATATTGATGACAATCTTTTTGTATTATCTTTAGCCGAAGCCTGGCGAACCAAAAAATCTGCCAACAATAAACTCAGAAATTTCTAATACTGTTTTCAGTGTACACTGATTACATAATCCAATACTTGAAATGATCAAAATATTATATATTATACTGATTTCCATGTCAATTTAATTATCATATGAGTTTTTTCACTTACTTTTAAATGTACAATTCATGCTACAGTTTTTCCAATTGATACGATAGACGACGAAGTCTAAAGTCGGGCAATGTTGAAACGTCTAAGTTTAGTTTAAATGTTGAATCTAAATAGAGAGTCACTTTATTGATGTAATTTAGTATAAATTTATCGCAAGGATAATTAAACAGGTTCAGAGTTAAATAACTTTCATTTTCAATATCAGTCACAACTTAATAAAAAATATACCCACATTCATTTATAATACGAGCTTAATATTGGGATAAAGTTATAACAATTGAACAAGGGCTATCACTGAATTCCTTTATATTTGAGTGAGGGTATTTATTTAATAAGTTGTATAACCAGAGCGCACCTATAGTCCACAAAATAATATTTGTAATACGCGTCAAGGAGACTAAATTCCCGTAACGCGATGAACACAGAGTTGAAATTTTCGGAAAGGACGTCACAATACCATTTTCGTAAATATATTATCGTATCTTGAACTACACAGGAACAAACAGTGAAGTTAGAAGGCAGTTGCAAATAAGTCGCTTATTCACTCAAGATGATGTATACGAGGGAAAACATTGTTTATAATAAAATAGATTAATTAGAGCTTATTCGCGTATTATTATTCATGCTTTTCAATTTTTAATGACTTCTCAGGCTCTTTATCACTTCAGTACTGAAAAATGTTGAATTAGTTGTAATGACTCTGCCTGAAAATATTCAAATCACAGGCGACATACATTTTTTCCGTTTATTTTTAAATTTTTGTGGCTATTTATGTCTTCAAATTTAAAGGCTTTTATTTAAATTAATTATTCCCTTCAATCGAAGGCTGACCATTCTGGAATAAGCTCATTTTATTCAACGCTCACAAGTTACTTTCCCCCAAAAAGTCATTCTCATGATAATTGGGCTCATACTGGTGATGAACTCCCACTGTAGGTTGGGGAGGTGGAACACGTGGAGGAGGTCGAGGTTTATTTAAATTGGAAACACGATTTTCAAATGAGGGTTTGGGTTTCAGAGGAGGTCTAGGCCTGTTGTTAGACGGAGGAACGGCTGTGTATGGTGGGTAGCTTGTCAACGGTTCCCCGTAGCTTGAGTACCGACGTTCTGTATTGGGATTGTAAGGTTGGGATGGCACGGATGTAATTGGCCGAACTCTGGCTTGTGCATCAGTTTCATATTCATATCTGCTGGCATTAGGGGCAGCAGTTGGTACTGCTGAAGATGAGGTAGATGAGTCCTGACTCCAGTCATTCATAGATCTGGCGTCACCAGCTGAGTGGTTAAATGGATCCGATGAGTGTGACCTGAGGGCGGCCCAGTCACCGTCGTTGCTGAACGCCGCATTTACATTCCCTGAAAGGACAAACGTGGTAGATAAAGAACCGTTCAACTTATTGGGATTCATACTAAAGAAATTTCCTCAGCTTTGGATAAATAATGCTTCTCATTGACTGAATTTTGTTGGTATGATTCATTTTTGTGCACTGCGAATTTTAGTGCATTCACAGGATGAATGATTTCAAATACTGGTTTAGTAGCCTCTTTCCTAGCCTGAAAAAGAGCATCTTGTTAGTGATAAATTAAGTCATGCACCCTCTGTGTCATTCGTTACACGGTGCACATTGTGGTTACTTTTCTCCCAAAATATTATATACTGTACAGTTCTAGATAAATTTTCAACGATAATAAATGGCGAGGAAGAAAAATTGAAAGCATTTAAATAATAAAACAAAAACATACTGCATACATGGGATTCAAAGTAGCGATTTTACGCGAAAATGCGCACAAAAGACGATACTCGTGCACAGAAGGGGGATGCGACTACAATTATTTGTTGATTGAAAATTTCGATATTGTTTATCATGGGAAGAACAAAATGCAGAAGGGACCACGATATTAAAACTCTCATTTTGATGGATGCACGATCGTTTGAAAACATTTGGACGACAAAAAATCTGCCATTGTTTGAAAAAGTCAATGCATCTATATAAAGTTATTGCGGAGTTACATCAAAAAACTGGGTCAACTGCCATCCGCTTGCAAAAACAACGTACGAAAAGTTCACTGCATCATTGAAGGTGCATTTTGGAAGCAAACTTACAAAACCTACAACTGATAACTACAACTGATATATCAAGTGTAAAACAGAGACTGATGTAAAAGTAACAGATCACTGCATCGGTCACCATATTGGTCAGATTGAGCCAATTAACGAGTGAAATCACGTTTGCAATGTTAATGGGCTTACCTTCAGAGGTGAAACTTGTGGGTGATCTCAGGTACTCGGCGAAACACTTGAAGACAAACAGGTACTGTTGCTGTAAATGCATAGTAAACTTAGTTATTAGAGATGTAAATAATGAGGCATGTCTTATAAAATAACACGTTGAATAAATTAAGAGTTGTGGCCTTAGCTTTCGTAAATTACCTTTTACAATTTTTTTAAACAAAATTGACGAGACTGCTCCTTTATTTGCTATGCAGTGGACAGGGAATAGAGATTTTGAAGGTTCGTAATAAGAAAGCTGAATTAGTTATTTCGGTATTACTGCCGTACATAATGATGAAGTCTGTATCTTTAATGATTTTCTCTGCATCTAATTATTAAATTCTTGCTCGCCATTATTCGATTGCATGCTCCTTCAATTCTCGAAAGACCTCGAGCTTGTAATCCTAATTATAATTTTATTGATTAATATCAAAAGTGCAGACATGGTTTGGAAAAGAAGCTGAAACTAAATTCTAAGCTAAAAATTTATTCAAATCAATTATTTTAATAAGGTGACGAAAATGGTAGAGAGAAAACCATTAATCGGTTAGCGAAAGTTGTGATCATTAGGGCAACATGGGGCAGCGCGCTTCCCCCCCCCCCTTTTAAACTAAATTTTTGATGAAGTTTCAATTGATACGAGGTGGTTCTTTGTTTTGTTTAAAGATACAACTAATGAGGAATGTATGATGTGAATTAGACGACTATTCAATTTTTAATGAAACACTATTTTGTTAGAAGTGTCAAAATGGGCCCATTGCCCCACCCCTGGGGCAATGGGCCCATGGGCTTAGGGCAAGGCGCCCACCCTTGGTCCATTTACCACAATTGCATATTTTTCGTTTAAAAATGATAAAACAACACTTTACAGTTAAAAATAAGAAAAATGTAATAAAAAATATGACATTCATTCATTTATTAACAACTCAAAACATCATATCATTAACTTGAAAAAAATATTCTCTTGACTTAAAAAATATACTCTTGGCTTTCTTCACTGACGTGAAGAAAAATATTTCATTGACATAACAATATATATACTTGACTTGAAAAAGATATCCTTGCGATAAAAAATTCGTCCTTGACATGAAAAAATGTATCCTTGACTAGAAAAAATATATTTAGTTGATCAGAAAAAAAACTTCGTTCCAGTTTCGTCCATAATCCAGATATTATGTGCAGAGAATTCGTACCTAATCGTGATTTCAGCCAACACCGTAAAAACTCATCAACTTTTGGCTCATTGGTGTTGACTGAAATCAACTTTTGGCAAGGCAAGAGTCAATAACTCGATAAGGGGTCATAAATACGCATAACTAGAAACAAAACCTGCTGCCTCGAGGCGGCAAATCAAAAAATCATGCATTATGAAGTGTAATTTGTAATTCAAAAATCTAGTCATAGTATGAAAAGGTCATTGAGACAAATCTAATGATGTATAACACAAGACTTCACCATGGGCGCTTTGCCCCGTGACACTCGTGGGCCCGTTGCCCCACTAGGTATAATTTCAATTTATATCGTGTCAACATTTTATTTCAAAAGCTAATAGTCTAAAGGTGATCTCAAAATTATCCCTATAAATATTATTTTCAAAATATAATTCACAGTGATTTCAAAAGCTTCATCTACAGTAATCGAAAACATTATGCCCCGTGACACGCGTGGGCCCGTTGCCCCACTAGGTATAATTTCAATTTATATCGTGTACACATTTTATTTCAAAAGCTAATAGTCTAAAGTTGATCTCAAAATTATCCCTATAAATATTATTTTCAAAATATAATTCACAGTGATTTCAAAAGCTTCATCTACAGTAATCGAAAACATTTTTATTCAGCAGCAAAAAATTTTTTATTTTGGCTAACACAGTTATTCACAAATAACCTAACGCAAAAACTTAGCAAAACGTAAATCCGTACACTTCATCCCAGTGAAACTGTCGACGGGCGGTAGAGAACACGGACCAATATCTGCGATACTTAGCGAGAAACCCGCTATGGACCCATGACCCGCAGTGGGCTCGCTGCCCCATGTTACCCTATGTATTAGGAAACTTCGAAAAGACACGATGCATGAGTAAATAAGGCATTATTAAGTCGGTATGTCCGGTACTCAAACGACTGTATCGACGCATCACCAATAAATATTTAGTAAATTAAGATAGGAGATTGGAAAATGTTGGGAAATATGTATCATTTGCAAAGTATTAATTTAAAATGTAGGTATTCGGTATCGTATGAGATTTTTCGCTTGACTATTTTAAAAACAAGCGTTTTATTTAATTTGCGTAGAATTTTAAAACTGCGAACAACTAAAGTTTCTTCTATTTGGTTTCAGACGCATTAGCTGTGCATGTTGACGAAGTCGGTGAGCAATTTCTTATTCCTCACGGTCAATTTGTACTTTCCCTAGGGTTTACTTATAAGATCTATTATTAGCTTACAATTGTTGTTAAATCCGCTTTGCTAACCTCATCCGTAGAATAAGAATATAAATCAAGGGTTCTGCCGCCTGGTCTAATGGTCAGTCGTCATCATCATCAATTATCTATTGTATCGAATTATATTTACCGCCAGTGACAGCCTAAAGTTATACCGCCTCGACGCATTGTTCCAATCTCGCTATAATTCATTATTTGAAACTAAAAACTTTCGTGAAGATTGCCGTTTCTGAACCAATTTCCCACCGCTTAAACTGATACCCAGTATTTTTTTCAATTATTGATGGAATTTTAAAATTTAAAAATTGGAAATTTAAACCTAAGGTTCATAGTGTTTTCTGTGTGCAAGTGATGTTTTGATCATTTATTATAACCGTAAATAGATTACCCGTACATATTAAATGATTTATAATATAAATTTATTTCTCCTACAGTAGACATTTAATCCGATGCTGATACTGGCCGGACTAACTTCATTTCGGGTGGATAGCTAGAGGTCAGCATAGCCCAAGTCCACAGTGCGATTCATATACCTTCCCGAGCGTAACGCAGCCGGGCATCTTCACGGCTTTTGACACAAAGCGCCCACCACAACAGCGCCGTTCAGTCACAGGCCGGAGCGCATACAGGCCGGAGCACAACTGGCCGGGGCCCTACCGCAACAGCTACCTCTAACGTCCATCCTAATTAGGATGGACCTCACCTCAGACTTGAGTTCGTCTCTGACTTGACCTCGCCCCTGACTTGATCTCACCTCAGACTTGACTTCACCTTAGACTTGACCTCGCAGTAAACATGACCTCACTATATATTTGACCTCAACTCAGTCTTGACTTCGCGTCTGGCTTGACCTCACCTTACACTTGACTTCACCTTAGACGTGACTTCACCTTAAACTTGACCTAACTATAGATTTGACCTCACCTTAGACTGTACGAGCAAGTTCCTGTCTTCCCTGATCTTGAGGATGGTCGCGTCGATGTCGATGGGGGCGCCCCGCTGGTGCTGCTGCTGGAGGTTCCACAGCGCGATGAAGGTGCCCGTCCTGCCCACCCCCGCACTGTCGTTGCAGAAAAAGTAATTTTTTAGGACAGCGTATTAACTTCATACCTGCAGCGCAATTAAAAATAATATCCTTTTCCAATCGAAAAAAATGTGACACTTTTTAAAATAATTTGTTATTTGGCAAGGATTTGAAAGCAAAGAAAAGAGCCAGAAAATTCACAATTTCTTATGCGAGAAAACGTTTCGGAGTCCAACTCTTTTCTTTCGTTTCAGATTTGTGGGAGCCTCTGAAAACTTGTCCAATGTGGCCCCAGTGGGAGTCCAACTCCATCGTCAGTTCAAAAACCTAAAACGCATGCACAAACAATTAGCAAACAAAAATTCACATTGAAAATATTAAAAGATAGATTGTCAAATGAAAACAAATAAAAAGGAGGTAAACATGAGCAGACAAACTTATCTATTTGCAATTTCGAGTGGATATGAACTATAAGCGGCATTGAGACTAGTCTTTTGTTTAAAATTTACAGGACTAAATACGTAAAAATATACGTAAACAAATTTTATAAATATAAAATTTGTTTACGGGCTTAAGCACCAGCTCTTTTAGCTTTTGTTCTTTCCGCTTCAAATTAAATGGGATTTAAACGCTAATATACCGCGGCTTTCGCATTTGCTCTACTAATTTCCATGCTATGCATTCAGAATCTGAATTTTCACGTAGTACCTTTTCACTAAATATGTTTCCGTCGCAACTGGTGTATACTCAAATTAAAAAAATTGTCTAAGCAATATCCTGAGATTGATCCAGAACGTGACAATAGGAATGCAGTTTATTGTTCGTTTCCTTACTTTGGTCCCGTTTTGGAGACTATGGCTATAAGGAGTTGGAAAGTTTTGTTCTCTAAATATCTCCCAAATGTAAATCTTCATGGAATTCATGGAATTCATATATTACTGGTGAATAATTTTAAAATTTGTTCTTTTTCATATATAACATATATAAAGATACACTCTCTGTTCTTATGCAATCGTCCCCAGTTTATCAATATAGTTGTGCGCAGTGCGCATCTGCGTATGTTGGTATGACATCATGTAATTTTTATACTAGACTGGAGGAGCACAATATTAGGGAAGGAGTTTTAGAACAGGAAACCTACTTGCGCATCCCAATCATTCAGCAATACCCGTTCATGCCAAGAAGTGCAACGTCCCGGTGTCCGATAGTGATTTTAGAGTATTAGCCTCCACAACCAGTTTTTTCCGAACTCCGAATTTTAGAATCCCTGTATATTTAAAACAAAATCCTAGTCTAAATGCCACTTACAGTTCATTTCCCCTCGAAAATGTCACTAGATAGGTTTGTCTGCCCATGTGTACCTCTTTCATATATGTTTTCATTTGACAATTTATTTTTAAATATCTTCAATGTGAATTTTAGTTTTCTAATTGTTTGTACTTGTGTTTTAGGTTTTTGAACTGACGATGGAGCTGGACTCCGAAAGGTTTTCTCGCATAAGAAATGGTGAAAGTTATGGCTGTTTTCTTTGCTAGTGAATTTTTGATATAATTGCGATTTAAGCAACCAAGTGATCTTAATTTGTTATTTAATCTCATTTACACAACATCATCACCTGCAGTGTACAAGGATGGGGGCAAGAGGCTCCGACTCCCCGACACGCGCCCTGACGCTGCTGATGAGCCTCAGCAAAGCGGCCTCGGACGCCGGCACGTTGAAGTCGGGCCACGACGTGAAGTGCAGCTGCACGACCTCTCTGGCAGGGCTGGGCTGTGAGGAAGAAAAGGTAAACTCCCATGATTTCACCACCTGAATAAAATTTTATGGTTATGTACATATATTACATTAGATCAAAGTGGCCGATCAATTCGAATCTTCTGAAAAATTGTGTAATAAAATCAAAATTACGTGTTAAAATTCTGCTTATCTATGGAATGCATATGTTTAAACTTTAGTTTAGATATTATATCATACGGTAGAGGTTAATGTCCTGGCTAAATTACAAATGGCCACCTCATCAAGCCAATCAGGAACAATGTAAAGGAAAGTAGTTTAGTCATTCCGGGTTTCCTTATTCTTCTTGTAAAACTGCGGGAAAAATATCGCACATCAGAACAAATGAATATACAAAACTGAAGATTTATACCAATTATACCAAGTAATTAAAGATCCAATGTATCAGTGTCGCACAACTCCTGGCTAAAATAAATATGAACGTGGGAACAGATACAATCACTAGTAACTTACGTGGATGGCTTGTGCCCTAGTTTTTAAATTCTAAATTGTGAACGGAATTTAAGCTTACTCTACGCTGTCAAAAGAAAGAAAACGATTTTACTTCACACTGGAGAACTATAAACTAACTACTATAACATGAACAAGACAATACGACAACTATAGCAAATTGGCCTAAAGATTAATTCAGCGCAAGCTTTCAGCAGAATCTCAACTCCTAGGAACATCAAAACTGTAATGAATGGCAGGGGGCTGCGACCCAGAATACAGCTCTGTGCCGGGCCGTAAGGCTACAAACTAAAAGTATATGTCGCACGCGTACTGGACACGACAGTTAAAGAATTATTCTTTTGAAGCCAACCATATTTTAACATTAAAGCCACAGGTACGTTTTTCAAATGTACTTCTACATTTCACCGAGGAATAATTGATTAATTGGTGCTATTTCTGTGATAATTTTTATGTGCTTATGCAATCTTCGCCCGCCATTGCTGATTTCTGAAAAAGCAACTGAGGCAATTATTAAAATGCTTTCCTGCTAACATTGAAAACGGTTTTGTGAGCAATCAAGTAAATGGCAGGTGAAATTTTTCAAATCTTTGTGAAATTCAGAAAATTGTTTCAAAACAGCCCAGCAGCTAACATGGTGCGGATACTCTACGAGCATTCAACCAAGCAATGACTCCATGAATATGAATTGTAGTCGAGTTAAGGGGACCGACCTAGCTCCGGAGAAACTTCTACAGTTATTATCCGATCATCATGAAACTTCACATACATACGTAAAATGTAAAAATAAGAAACCCACCTCCCTTTGAGGAGCTGTCACAAAGTCATTTTTCGACGCACAGGGACGATACTTATATCGTTCGATGCGCAAGAAAACAACCTTTAAGATGAGATAAGAAACAGAAAAACTCAACATTTTCAAATTTTAGCTAGGTCGGTCCCCTTAAACTAAAGACTAAACGTTCAAGATTGGGACAGGCTGATATTTTGCTAATTTCCAAAAAATAGCCTCACTTCTCTAAGAAAATTCTAATTTCAGGTATTTTGATTCAATTTGATGTGTGCCTATATGTTACCCTTCCTGAATTCCACCTTAAATGAAAATCTTGGGCCTACTCTATGAGCCTTCGAGTGCGCGCGACCATGCATTTAGCCCACTGAGCCACGGAGACGGCAGTCACATAGAGTCGCAGTTTTTGTTTTGTGTTGCGCGCGGTACTACCAAAATAAATCTTGGATTTTATGATCAACTTCTTGTGTGATTGAATGGTATAGACGTCGCTCGTTTACATTATTATTGACAAAGGAAAAGCAGTGCGTTGAGACACTGTTGTGATTTAGTTTTCGACCTAGTGTGCAAATGTAGAATGGGTCATTAAAGTTTTAGCATTGACGTAATAGCATTTTATTAGAATCCTAAAAATATTTCTCTATTGGAGGCTTAGGAATCGTAGTTCTTCATCATTTTGTGAAGAAATACTTCTTACCGGATGAAATTCATTAACAAATTTAACAGCATAATGGTCTACCGAGCAGCTGGGCGGATTAATCGTACGCATGCAGTGGAGATTCGTGGCATTCATGAGCGGCGGCGCCGCACTACTACCTTCTGTGAGAGCATCTGGCGCACTGGCTAAAGCGCACACATCAATCATGCAGCCTTTACATGCGCGTTGAGACATCTATTGGGTGTCTCACAATTGTGAGACGCCCAAGGGCTCGAAATTTTCCCTCTGTGTGGGTAAACTTGTTTAAGGGTCCAAATTGTATATCGAAAATATGATTGTTAAATAAATGCAAAAATATCATCAGTGTTTGTTTACGTTTCACCAAAATTCTGGGCTGCACATTGAAATGAAAGCATCATTTTTATTGTGTTGAAAAATTCCGCGTGTAAATGAGGATATAATTTTGCACGGACAAGGAAATGATCAAAGATCCATGGGTATCTAAGGAACTCACGTCATTTTGCAGGAGGATCCTGCGCTCAGTCCAGTCAGGTCCTTGATCTTCATTCATGAAAGTCATGACATATTGGTCAGCCATGATCGTTGGCTTCCTCGTCTCAGGCCAGTACATGCAACATTTTTCCTGCAATAAACTTATCATTCGTGCCTGATACTTGAAGCGCATGCAGTGTTTTACCAATAATAAAATGAAAATTAAAGACCCTATTTTGTGTTTGAGAATGTTATCAGGAAAACAAATAATTATGAACACTTCCATTTGGGTCAAAATCTATTGTCATGAGATCAGGAACATGATTCCATACAACGTTGTAATATTTGTGGTAAGTTGAAAGAAGCCCTCGTTTTTTGAGTTCTAAAGAGCCACTCGTGTCTCATGTAGTAAAAAACCTATGTAAATAGCATATGCATGAGGAACAAAACTTGCGTTCGGGTTCATGACCATAATTACCTTCTCGCCCTCGAAACAGTTCGTCAACATGACTATAATTCGCACTTGTTCCTGCCAGACCATTTGCCAGAAATCTGACACTGTCCCAGGCTTCGGTCCCTGACTCGCGATGAAACGCACTCTGCCGACTGCGTCCTGGTGCCGCCGAAATTGCATATCAAATAAATTACAACGGAAGCTCAATTTATAATTTGAGCTTTAAATTTCATAGATATTTATATCCATTAGTTTATGTTACTATATATTCGATCGTACGATTCTATCGCTAACTTGGGCCATATGTTGGATTTCAAAAATTGGTCACATATAGAGCAAAACTAGCAAACAGAAGTTGCCTACTTGGGTGGCAACTTGAAATTAACCGTTATATATGAAAATTTTTACTGTTCCTTTTACCACGTTTTACTGACTCTTGAATGTAAATCATTCGCGGACAGATCTTTTGAGTCAGTGCATATATTTGTGCGAGCCTTAAGCTTTGTCCCTCTTGCTGCTCTGGTTGATAGATAGATTTGATGCAGCTTTTACCAGACATTTGAAACTGCTACATGCCTTGCCTGATCCTGCTGCTCGCTGATTGCCTGCCTGCTTCCGCCCCTTTATGGGGCATCAAGAGTTGAGTCTTGTAAATCATGGAAATTAAACTGGATTCAAGGACACCCTTCACCACGACTCTAGTGCAGCAAGTGAAATTGATTGCTCCTTGTGGCGGGCTGTTGACGAGTACTGAGAAAGAAATTGATTCCTTTGAGTAACTTGCCTCAACCTTAGTGGAGCACCCAGGGAAGTAATTTGCTGGTCCACTGAGGGACACTTTTGCCAGCCTTACAAGTGCTTTCCATTTATGCACTCCCCAGCAGGATTTCTTAAAGTAACTGGTTTTTACATTGTCCAGGTGTATTGTGTCAGTGCAAATATGTTTTTATTGTGACGTTCTAATAAAAATAATCAACTTTAGATGGTAATTAGGTATTGATTTTATTGTCTGACCGTGCTTTCGCCATTTTTAACTATATAGTGTGATGTCAGCCAGTTTGAGTGTTCTTCGTCAACCGGTCCTTTTGTTTTAGTGATTTGGACTTGCTATTGCAACAAGGGCGATTTGCTACTGCAACAAGGGCTGAGGGCCCTGGTGATTTCATGAGATTTCTACTGTGTTTTATTTAGCAAGTTTCTCCTTCTAGCGAGATTTGCTGTTTCCATACCATCACAACCTTACTAACCCCATTTCATACAGCACTAATTGCGGGTGTCTGCGTTTTGTTGTTTGTATGCTGGCCCCAGTGTTCCATAATATATTTTCCTAAGCCGTGCCCAGGTGGTTTCAGTAGCTTTACATGCCAGGCTTGTCCACAGCTGTGCCATCTACCTCTTAACTTTCAACATTAAACTTACCGGGACCAAACGCCTACCCTTACATTTTTGTAAGGTACGCCTCCCTTACACCAAAAATGTAAGGGTAGGCGTTTATTCCCGGTAAGTTTAATATTGAAAGTAAAGTGGTAGATGGCACAGCTGTGGACAAGGCTGGTATGTAAGGCTACTGAAAGTCTGAAACCACCTGGGCACAGCTTAGGAAAATATATTATGGAACACTGGGGCCAGCATACAAACAACAAAACGCTGACACCCGCAGTTAGTGCGGTATGAAATGGGGTTTGTAGAGTTATGATGGTATGGAAGCAGCAAATCACGCTAACAGGTGAAACTTGCTCTATAAAACACAGTAGAAATCTCATGAAATCACCAGGGCCCTCAGCCCTTGTTACAACTAGCATTTCACAAGGCCTAATCACTAAAACAAAAATACCGGTTGACCAAGGACACTCACGCTGGCTGACATCACACTAGTTACAAATGGCGAAAGCACGGTCAGACAATAAAATCAATACTTAATTACCATCTAAAATTGATTATTCTTAGTAGAACGTAACAATAAAAACATATTTGCACCGTCACAATAAACCTGGACAATAAAAAAAAACAGTTACTCCCAGAAATCCCGCTCGGGAGTGCAATAGGGAACCACATAACTGGAAAGCAATCCTAAGGCTGGCAAAAGTGTCCACCCAGTGGGCCACCAATTAATAGTCACTTCTCTGTATGGGTGCTCCACTAAGGTTTTGGCAGGTTACTCAAAGGAATCAATTTCTCAGTACTCGTCCACAGCCCACCACAAGGAAAAATCCAATTTCACTTGCTGCACTGGAGTCGTGGTGAAGGGTGTCCTTGAATCCAGTTTAATTTCCAAATTTTTCTAGACTCAACTCTTAATGCCCCATAAAGGAGCAAAAGCAGGCAGGCAATTAGCGAGCAGCAGGATCAGGCAAGGCATGTAGCAGCATCAAATGTCTGGTAAAACTTGCATCAATTCCATCAACCAGGGCGCAGAGGGACAAATCTTAAGGCTCGCACAAATATATGCACTGACTCAAAAGATCTACCCGAGAATGATTTACATGCATGAGTCAGTAAAACTTGGTAAAGGGAACAGTGAAAATTTTTTCGTTGTTCTCTTTACCACCATTACAGATTTATACAATTATCATTTATACAGATTTATATTCTGTATGCCTCCTATCCTCACCTTAACGTAGCTGGCGTTGATGTAGTCGGTACCCCATTCATGGTATAATTTAACTCGCGTGTCGTCGACTGCACAGCACCAGAAAGAATTCACTCGATTGCTTGCTCAATGCAATTTATAACATCAACAATTCAATTGATAACACGAATGATGAAACGTACCTGAATACAAGTAATGACTTACATACCGCTTAAAGTACAAGAAAACTTTTTAGGTTTCAGTTTCATTTCAACCTCAAGAGCTTCAAATTTGTTTCAAGTTTACCGATAACATTCAGTCAGGAAGCTTCATTGGAGCTCGTGCAATTTTCTCAGAGAATTTCACAATTTCGGCAACAAATTTTTCCGAATTTTCGAGACACAAATGAGGGAATGCTCGTACTACTCACAGGGAACAATATTCGTATAACGATTTTTCGATAAATTCTTGCGGGTGGAAGCTTCGTTCTTTGGGGCTTCTCTGCTTCTCGCGTTCAGGTCCTCGAAGGCCGTCGTTAGCTTCTGAGGGTCGTCTTCGAACTGCTCAGTAATAGTTTGATCGTGACACAAAAAAGTATTGGAAATGCAGTATAATTAGTATTTTTGAAGCTAATATCGTGAAAAATACGAAAAGTTCGTACAAAATCTGTTCTCAAAATCTGTTTCAAAATTTATTATTTCTTTTGTACTTTCACAAATCTTCATGATGCTATTACGATTCCGGTATTGAATGTAGGTAAAAGAAAATCCTCTCTGAAGAGCTCCCCATTGGATCATCCCGAAACATGATAGCATCAATTAAAGGACTGATAGCGGCGTCAATCTTACATTCCTGCCCTTTGGTGACCAATTAATTACCATTTACTTTTGTCCTAGCTAATACGCTAATTTAAAACTCAAATAAGTCGAGTATACGCGTCAATTATACTTAACTTTCAGTCAATTGATTTGTTTGTAAACGGCAGTTACAATGCAGTTCAGTTGATTGAATTGCTTTACCGATAACATATTAATTTTGACGGCAACATTTTTTCAGTTTTATTATACCTCGCTCGTCTCTCTATTCAATGAAGCAAATTCAAATGAAAAAAGACCGAATAGGCTATATCTGTTTTGAAAACATTTCTGTCAAGTTCTAGAGGAGTAAGTTATCTGCTTCATATTTTGATATTATGCCTTAGGACATAGACTTTTAGTGTCATTCATTAATTTTTGGGATGTCAATGAGCAGCAACGCCACTTATATCTACACATGCAGTGTGGTAGATGCATTATTACCTGTCGTACTGTGTCGAGCAGTCCTGTTCGAACATCATCGTGTCCAGTCGGACTGTGAGGAAAAACACTTAAATATATAAAAATTTGATTGCAAGCATCCCAGACATGCACTCATCTTAAACTTCGTTAAAGCGCATGATAATGAAGGCAATTTGGAAGAGCACAAATTCGGTGAAATATGTGTACTTCATTGATAAATCTGCGAAAGAGTAAACTGTGAATATAAAATTAATGTAGAAATACTAAGTGATTCCCTATTCGATTTCTAAATAATAATATTATTACTACAGTGGGACCTGTTCCCGTGAGATTATTCTCATTTGCATCTAGCATTTGACCCTAATAGTATAATATTTCAAAAAAATGTGTCACAAACGATCATACGTTTGGGAGAAATTGGACGGCGGTGATAAGAACTTCTTGCGAATGTCGTCACGTTTGTAGATGACAACCACGAGCCCCACGACCAGCGCCACCCCCAGCAGGCAGCCAATGACGATGCCCGCCACGCCTCCAGACTCGTTTTCTAGCGAAGTAATGAATGGCTTCACCTCAGCATTACCTTCTTTATTCGTGGCTGCCTGTAGGTGAGAACCATCCAATGATAGTATTTGCTTATGAAAGTTTCTGTAGATGACATCAAAGCTCCTCATTTCAAGGCAGAGTTAGCGAGCCTGCATGCTATATCATGGATAAATCATATATATTAATTCAATATGTTCTTATTTTATATCCATTTTATGCCTGTATTGAGTGCGTTGGGCATACTAATTCTCAATATAGATTGAAAACAAAATCAAAATTAGCATGAATTTACAAGGCGGCAGCGTGCGACAAAATACTCTCACCTTCATGTTTTATTCGTCAATAGGTCGATATTGCCATAAGTGTCGTCAGTTACCTCAGGTAAACACCATGCAAACAGGGTAATCATGTAATTAGTGCCATTGGACTCACCCGCACACTAATGTTGTACTCTGTGCTTGCACTGAGGCCGACCACGGTACAATTGAAGCGAGTTTGATCATCCGAAGCGGTAATATTTTTGTTGGTGACGAAGTCGGTGCCGCGGCTGCTTATGACCGAGTAGTAACGCACGACGCCGTTTAGTGTCGCTGGCGCGTCCCACTGAACGACAAGAGCGTCACTCCGCGCCGCCAACAATGTCAAGTTTTGAGGTGCACTGGGAGCTTCAAGAGGCAGTGAGAAAATATTCACATTAGATTTCTCAAAAATTAAACATATTTAAACAAATTAAATGCCGCTGAAATTTATCATACCATGCAAATACCAATATTTTCAACATAAAAAAAATTTAAAATCATTTAGATTCATTGGGAAACTGCAGCGAAATGCAGCTATTAGCTAGTTTCAATGACAGTTGAAAGTTTGATATTAATAATTTACATATACTAGAGAAAGGGTTCAGTCAGATAAAATGTTATTAGCAAGATTCCATCGGACCTGCGTCAAGCCGAACACAAAGATTAAGGCACGCAGCAAGAGTGACTCAAGAGTATTACCCGCCTCTGCCGTCCAGGCATAGCAAGCGCCAGGTGCCCCGGTCACGGTTTCCTCCACAACGGCTTTTACTTGAAACGAGTAATTGGAGTACGGAATCGGATCTTCAAGCATGAATTTGGACTCTTCAGTCGAATTCGACGAATTGAATTTATTGCCGGACCACCTCACATATACGTCCGAGATGATAATAAATCTGGTGATGTTACATGTGGTGATTGGTGCAGTCCAAGAAAGTTCAATGGAGCCGTCATTTCGTTGAGGGCAAAGCAACGCTTCTGGAGCTTCTGGTTCTGCATGAGAAGCTGTCGTTAAGAACTTCAAGGCATTGCATTCAACTCTAGTTACTTTTCTAATACTGAAATATCTGCATCATGAAAAATATCTGCGTCAAATTTTAATGTTACATAAACTTACACAAATTATTTATTTGAAAAATTGAAAAAAGTAATTAATTAAGATAAAGCACTCTATTACATCAAATTCTTGATAGAGCAAATTAAACCAGCAAGTCAATTCAGTTTCACGACTTGCTAATGACATGCGATCACTCGGAAGCGGGTCGAGAGGACTGCTAATGAATCTGGACTAGTCACTATATATATTATACCCTGATTAAATTTGCTCTATTTTTGAATGGCTTCGTGGCGGTGACACACAACTGTGGGTGACACACAACTGTGTATTAATGACAGTGGTGGACACACTTCCGCTAATCCGCAAACCGCTAATTAGTGAATTTTCCTTATCGGATTTGCTTTTCAGCTAACTTTGAAAACAATTAGCGGACCAATCAGCTTCTTCTAAATTTAGTTCAACTAACTGGCATTCTGATATGTTTAAAAATCTCTTCTGATAGAAAATTCAGGCGTGAATATTTAATCCTAAGTATCGTTAGCCAAGTGCCACACTGATGGCTAATAACATCAACATATGTACGTCAAGCAATCACGTCTTGTGTTACTGCTACATAATTGGTTGACGCAGCATCTAGAGGCTGATGTTTATCAAGGGCAATGAATATCACCTCGAGCAGATGTAAGGCAAGCCAGAGTAAACGCAGAAACAGTGTGTAACCCTGCTTTTACCCGTGTGTTTTCATTTCTCACTATTTCTTATTCGTTTAACACTTTTTTATTTGTTTAAAAAACTGTATGTTGAATGTCAACTACTGCTTAATCTCATTTGTTCATTTAAGTATTTATGTACATCTTGATCATCATCTGATCTTGGCATACTATACCTTTTTGGAAAGCTCCTTGTCAATGCTACAACATATTAAAAGTTCAGCTCTCAAGCTGTGTTTTTCAGAGTTTCAGAGCCCCCAAACAATTAACCCAAGCTAAATTGATAAACTAAAAGTTAGCGGTTAGCAGTAAATTCAGCGAAATTTCTAGCGATTATGGGTTTAGCGTTATAAAAGCTGACTTTTCAATTAGCGGATTAACGGTTATTGAAGCTATTTTTTCGGTAAGTTGTGCTCACCATTGATTAATGATAAATAGTTCATATTTCAATCGTGATTCTGCACAATGTGGGAAGTACACTCGCCTTCAGCGGGGCTCCATTGCATAGAAGTTCTCGCTCCCTCGCCACGGCTGGTGGACGCCGACACGAAGAAGTCGTAGATCTGGCACTCGAACAGATCTGGTACTTCGCACTCGTAGCTGTCACCAGGCGTTGTAATTATCTGGTCATCGTTTTCTTCACTTCCGCTACCCGCGAGCTTCCAGCGGATCGTGTAATTGGTGATGATGCCGTTCTCCTCCTCGGGAGCTTGCCACGTCACCAGCACTGATGTGGAGTTGAGAGCTTCGATGTTGAGATCAGTTGGTGCGCTGGGAACTGATAGGATAGGATAGGTTGATAGGAAATATTAGAAAAGACTGTCTTCAAGCCAGTCCAACATGTAGGCTATTCAGCCAATTGTTGAAACATAATATCATAAAAGAGCCTTTTATAATTACTCATATCCAATCAATTAGATATTTGTATTAGTTTGTATGAATTTATATCAATATTTATCAGTATTTACACCCATACTAAATTTTACCATGAAATACAACGACCGTTTGTCCAAGATAGCATCTTTTAGCAATGTTAATTATATTACAATGTTATTAGTTACAATGACTTTGTAAGTTTTAGCCTAAATACTACTAATTATAAAATTCTCTAAACTAGCAGAATATCTCAAAAATATATACGAGTTAAAACCTATTATATAAAGTTATGCTCAGGTGTCATTTCAGCTTATATCTACCATTCGCATCGGTCCAAGCGTTTCAATTCCATTTTCGTCAAAATATAAAAAAATATAAGACGAACGAATTTCCAATCTTTGCAACTGCGATGCATAATCCTACGCGAATACGTAGTAACCGATCATGCCCTGACTTAGGAGACCCCAACATGACTGGACAAAAAATTATCACGGGGCAGACGAGCAACTTGGGTTTGCACAAATATTTTTATCTAGTCATGCACAGCGAAACTCTCAAGAAAATAAGAGCTGATTAATAATTCAGCAAATTAATAAAATAAATTCGTTTTTTTTTCGGAAAGCAACTCGTTTGTAATAAAATATGTACCTGCGAATAGTTGTGTTCATCTAACTCAAACACAAGTTGCCTGACTCGTCATCATCATGCCTCACAATATTCCCAACTCACCATCTTCCTGCGTTGCGGTGTAAGTTGGCAGTGAAGGCTCCCCCGCCCCAGCTGCAGTCGCCGCCACAACAGAGAAGGAGTAGTTGCTGTACGGCGTCAAACCAGCGATATTTATCGTCGTAGTCTCGGAATATGCAGAGTTAACCTCCAAGGTTGCGTGGTTTCCCCACATGACCAGACCGCTGTACACAACGGTGTAGTTGACGACCTCGCATTTAGTGGCAGGTTTGGTCCACATCAGGTTGACGCTACGACTTGCCACGGACGATACTTCAGGAGGTGACCCCGCTGGCGGTACTAGGTGTAGAGAAAAGAACCGCGAGGAGAAAACTCATTCATAACTTTTCCAGATGGCCTGCATATTATCTGACGTAAATTTCTGGCTAACGGACGTTAATAGACATATTGGATACAATTCAATTTTTACGTAAAGTAATATTGAAAAACAGTTATATCCTTCCTAAATTTCAAAATATAAATCCATTTCTTGACAGAATTTTTACCTTCATTAATCTGAAATCTTCCTTCCAAAATCTGAATGAAATTAGGCATGCACCTGCTCTGCTCACCTGACACGTCAGTTTCCTGGTTCGACTGAATTTCATCTCCAGGTCCAGCGCCTGTAGTTGCTGCAACAGCTACGGTGTACGTATCACAAGCGTTCAGGCCCGTAATTTCTAACCGAGTTTCAGTGACATTCTGAACTGTTGCATTTCCCCCCTCTCTCCACCACCTAACTTGGTAGTCCCCAAGCAGACCGTTCTCCTGTCTGGGTTTCAGCCACGTCGCTGTGAAGGATGTCGCCTGCACGGCCTCGAAAGTCAGGTTCAGTGGCGCTGAAGGCTCTGAAATTTGAATAGACATAAGATTAGCATTGATACCGCTAAGTATTGTTTTTTTTCTGGTAAATGTCTTTCAACAGTAGTAATGTCCACGTTTATTTATATGACTTACACAAAAACTCACTGGCTTCGTCAGTTTGAGTCACGCAGGTTGCAAGATGAGGTTCGTCCCGCGCGCTCAAGTTGATGGAGTAATTCGCGTAAGGCATGAGGCCCGTGAAGTTTACTGAAGTTTCCCTCGTGGTGATGTTGTCGTGTGTCGTCTGCTGGTCCCCCCACATGGCAACCCCCGTGTAGGACACGAAGTACTCCACGCAGGCCCCCGGGCCATCCCACGAAACGGGAATACTCTGGCCGAGGGCATCACACGTAAATTTTGTGACCGCCACAGGACCTGAGGGAGCCAATTAAATTTTCAACGCATTAAAAGTGAGCTTAATTAGTTGCGTCAAAAGAAGCGCCAATTACTGAGAATTTTTCGCAGCACTCTTACAAATTTGCTTGCTAATTTCTGAGTTAAGGAACCAATTTTTAGTACCTGTTTAATTAAAAGCATTAGCAATGTCTATTGCAAAATCTAAAATTATTATTAAATATTGATGGCATGCACCGAAGGCCCCTATCTGCTTATTGCAAAATCTAATATTATTATTAAATATTGATGGCATGCACCGAAGGCCCCTTTCTGCTCAAATTTGGCAAGGCAAAATGACGGCAGTTCTATGTCCAATAATGATTTAATCAAAGATGTTTCAATTTAATATTCAAGCTAGAAATGCAACATAACTAGCATCAGAGAGGATTTTTTTTTCACTCTACCTTTACGAATCGAAAAAAAACTAAGCTCGCCCAGCTCACCATCCTGCAGGGTGTAGTCTGCTGCGGACGCAGGGGTGCCAGTGTCGACCTCAGTGCCCCCATCTAATGCAGTGGGCTGCACCGTGACGGTGTAGAGAGTGCAGCTGTCTAAGGTCGGGTACACATCACAGGCCGAGGTGCTGGTAGCAGGCGAGTCAACGTAACACGATGCAGTAGCGACGCTTACTCCATCAGGTATCCATGATACCAGGTACCTCAAATCTTCAGCAGTTGGCTCCTGCAGCTCCCACGTCGCGTCGATCATCGTCACATTTGGGAAAAGCTTCAACTGGCTCACCACATCTAGAGGTAAATTAGTTTACGATTAAAAAGTATTCTAATATTCAGACCATGAGCGGGTTGTAGAATGTCTGCCGAATTTTAAATTCAAGTGACTTATATTCCTCGATTGTCCCTGTATCGTGTTATTTAATGGTGTGCAGGTTAATGTCAAAAAGTTTGTTGAACAATTAATTAGCTCAATTGAGTATCTTGACGCAACCTGGATAGTCCAATAACCTACTAATGACCGTTACCATTATAAAAAGTCAGATGGAGGGACAATTGCAACGAAATCGCAGGAGCGTCACGCGCCTTTAAATGAAAAACAACCTTTGACGGGAATGGCTGCCTTCCTGCAGCTCCAGCTAGGTTAGAAAATTCAACAATACATGGGATATAAATAGCCATAGCCGCAGAATCGATGTCATACTGTATAATGGATTATCATACACAAATAAAAAGAGTATTATCAAACTTTTACATGGGTTCCTCATTTTTTACTTGATATCGCAATCGCTGTTCAAATGTAGTGTGATTCGATACTATCTTGTACGTATCTTATCTTGCGCAGTAAATATTGCCCGTTAAACGCTACAACGCCGCCCTGTTTTATTTTTCGGTGAAATCTTTCATGTAAAATACTCATTTGTAATCATGTTAAGTATTATTGTATTTTAGTAGTTTTGAAAAACTTCATGTGAACATTTAACACATGAAGATATTGAAATTTTATTCCTTGCAATGTGTTTGAGACTTAGTTAAAATGCGATACTCACCTTGAGCGTGCAGGACCTGAATCTGCAGAAGGAAAAGTTAAAAAATGTATTAAAACATTTTGTGCATAAAGAAAATATAGAAAATTTTCATATAAAACGATTCATATAAAAGATTATAGAAAGGTCATGGCATTTTTATTTTTTTGGAAGTGAATTGATCAAGGCATTACAATTATTACAAGGCATTGATCTGTTGTGTTCCAAATTAGCTGCGCAGAAAAACTTTTACCAATTCTGAAGTCACTTCAGCGGATCACTGGTTTACAAAAATGACTGCGGAACTGCGCAGCTACAACGTGCCACCAAATGGGTTATTAGTGGATTAGGGAACAAATGTCTTCAGAACATACTAATTGTAACACCCAATTCGGTACATTTTTTGACGCTTATTTACATATATGATTTTTTCTGGTTGCCCAAATCCATTCTAATTGGTTGAAGTTGGACTTGACTAATTACAATGTGCCAGAAAACATATGAAACTTGAGTAATACTGGAAAGGATATGAATTCTGAATAAATTACGATATAAGAATTGAATGACAACTTATCTAATTTGTCACAGTTGCCAATCTCAATATATCTATAGATCGATGAAACAAAATATTGCTCCTTGACACGAGCTCATAATAATTGACCATCAGTCGATCTTAGTGAGTACCTGGAGAGTGAAGGACACCAGGAGGCAGCACAGGCACTCCTGCAGCAGTGACAACTTCACCATTTCGCTCCTCTGCCTCAGTTCCAGCAATATTCATTGTATGTGTCGATGTAACTTGTTTTAAATCTGAGAAGAAATTCATGCAATAAATTACAATTACGTCGTTTCTCATAACCATGAAATCACATTTAGTAATTTTGTTTCTGGCATAAGTAAATTTGTTCGATATAATTAATTTTGGGAGGAAACAGTTTTTGAGATTATGACGAACATAAAATTCGATTCCTGATTTCTGTTTGACATTCAAGTAGTGAGAAGGGGCTTTAAAAATTTTGTGGAAAAGGACTGACTGTAAATTATATGAGAAGAATTTGATGTCAATGCACCAAAACGATCCTGTATCATGTTTTACAACGTGTTCTCGCATGAACCCTTAAATTAACGGTAAAACGCGGGATGCTGTTTTAAAATCATCAACCGCTCATACATTATGGCATCTGCCGAAATCGAGGCCAGGCTAACACTAAATTCATGATGAAGCCTGGGTGAGGGAACAGCAAAATCATTTACTCTCTGGAACAAGTTCATGGTGAAAGTTCCTAAAATAAATCAGTAACCTACAAATGAATAAGTCGTTCCAGAAGCGAAAGAAATGAAACCAAAGATGACTCTTGCTGAGACACACCATGCAGATCTGTTTGTGTGAAAAACATTGATGCTGCTCGTGATCTCACGAGATAGGCGAATAACCATCAAATCAGTAGCAAAAACACTCATCTCCATGAGTTGCACACAAACAATTCTGTTGGGCAGTTTGGGGGAGAGAAAATGCAAGCTCTTCGCTTGATGGGTTCCAAGGCTGTTACGCCCAGATCAACAGGAATCATGGGCCTATTTTTCTATGGAAATTTTGAACAAGTGCATGGGATGAGAACCCACAACTTTTTCTTACGCTAATTATGACCGGTGATGAAACATGGCGCTACCAGTGAAATCCCTAGGAAAAATATTACAGCTGTTCATTATGAAAAGATTTTGATGAAATTTTCCAAGAAAATCGCCAAAAAAGTCTTAGGAAGCAGCATCGGCGCGCACTCTTCAACCACGACAATGCACACGCGCATGGCGCTCGGTGGACCAGAATTTGCTACGCGAATTTCGATTCGAAATCATTCGGCATCCACCTTATACGACCGACTTAGCCTCATTTGATTTCTTTTTATTTTCAAACCTAAAAATTCATTGAAAAGTACCCAGTCTCTATAATCTGAAGCAGTAAAAAGAACTGCCAAAACATGATTTAATTCGCATGACTCAATTTTACACAGATGGACTTAATGGCTGGTATCAGCGGTCACAGAATTGTATTAGCCTAGATAGAGCGAGCATGTGTTGAAAATAAACCTTATGACTTCAACAGTTCCCTCAAACTGTTGTTTTTTCACGAACTATTTGAAGCACTCGTGTATATGTGTGCAGTGACCAGAGTGTCCCTTGACTGCGAGCGTTATCTCTCGTTGCATCTTCTATCGGTTGTTATCAGCAGCCCCTGCGATATGCTGAGGAGCTTGTATGTCTATCTATACTATCCTAAGTTTGAGTGAAATTTTGCTCGAAGATATTATGAAAACATGGAATTGTTAAGTCATTATTTTCGTTCATAATTGATTCCCCATAACTGACTCCGCAAACATCAGTCATAGATGAGGAGTTGTTGCTTTCCCTTAAAAATTTCTCCAGTTAGTTTGTAGGAAACAAATAAGATAGTTCCATCAAATCTGCCTCAAATAATAAAATAAAGGCAATTCGGAGTAAACGCGGCGCTAAATTACCAAATAAAAATGGTAGCATCTTGAGTAATATATGTACTGCTATAATTGGTATTTCATTCTCTATTACCTGTAACAGCATCAAAGCTCATAATCTTCGTAATCTTGTTCATCAGAAAAAGGGACTCTAGATATGACCTAGGCTGCCTGATTGTAAAAAAAGTTGTTTCTATTTGTTTCATTTGTATGTTACTCAGTGCATTCAAGTCCAACTTGGTCTAGTCTGATCAGGAAACCGCTTTCAATCAATGCCTCCTGACTCTCTCGCTATCTACGACCTATTTATACGCTATACAACCTAGTAGAAATTATTCTACTCGCACAATGCGACTCATTGGAGTCGCTAGTGTAATGGAAGTGAAGTGTCGAAATTTCGGCTAGTTCGAGTTCGATAGTTCAGGCTGTGATTTTGTGGAAGAAAAATGCATCTGAAAAAAATGCATTTTGCAAAATGCAAAACGCTCCATTTAACTCATTGACGAGAAATGTGCCCTGGCAAATGAGTCTGACAGATTTCCCGACTTCGATGAATTTCAATCACTATCTTTTGAAAAAAATCCGCAACGATTTACCGTTGGGTTGGTGGCATAAAATAATTGCTACTTTCATAAAATAATTGTGCAACTGTTCTTAGGAATTTTGATCATTTTGAAGGATACTGTAATAGTTTTTCTAATCTTGAAATTTAGTTCTCAACTGGGCTGCCGTCTTCAGGTGACATTGTTACCAAAGACCATCATGGAGCATGACTGCGAGACTTATCTCATGTGCAACTTTTAGCGAAGTTTATCAGTGGTCATTGCCACACAGAAAAGGCTTGTGCTCTTCAAAGTATCTTTTTTGGTTTTTGTTTTCGGTTCTTCAGTGTGCAATGTTAAGTCAGTGGTGAGATATCATAAAAAGTGCTGGAAAAAGAAACACTTCATTCCTGTTAACTTCCTTAACATTCCTATACTAATCAGTCATACAACGAAAACAAACCCTGGAAATCTCTGTTGAAGACTCTTTAATGAGAAGGTTTTGAGAGTATTTTAATGCTAATTATACGTGTGTGGGGAGTAATATATGTTCGTAGTTGACTGTTGAAATTTTTTTCAATAGTCAAGTTTTTTGGAATTGGTGTCCGGTAATGTAGTTCATTTATTTTCGTGTCCGGTTTTTACACATAAATAAGTACTAGCGTCAATTACCGGACTCGATTTTTGTCCGGTTTTGTACCCGATGTCCGGTAATGTTACCAATTGTAATTAATTTTGTCCGGTAATTGTACGAACCATGTATATATATTTATATATATATATATAAAGTCATTAAGTTTTTATTCTATATCTAATATTTTATGCCTGCGTTGCTGTGTGTTTAGTTTAATAATTCTCAACATAGGCTGTAAAAATATTAAATTAAAATCAGCGTGAATTTACGGAGCGGCAGTATGCGGTGAAATACTTACAGCCTTATATTTTTTTCTTCGATAGGTCGATATTGCCACAAGTGTCGTCAGTTACATCAGTAAACACTAAACAAGGTACTAATGTAATTAGTGCCATTGGACTCACCCGTACACTAATGTTGTACTCTGTGCTTGCACTGAGGCCGATTACGGTACAATTGAAACGAGTTTGATCATCCGAAGCTTCAATAGTTTGGTTGGTGACCACATCGGTGCCGCGGCTGCTTTTGACCGAGTAATAACGAACGACGCCGTTTAGTGTCGCTGGCGCGTCCCACTGAACGACAAGAGCGTCACTCCGTGCCTCCAACAATGTCAAGTTTTGAGGTGCGCTGGGAGCTTCAGGAGGCCGTGAGAAAATATTCACGATATTAGATTTCTCAAATGTTGAACAAATGTAAAGAAATTAAACATCAATCAAAGTTATACGAATACCATTATTTAAAAAAAATTAATTCTAGTATTCAGATTAATTAGACAAATGCAACGAAATATAGCTATTATCCAGCTTCAATGACCGTTAAACGTATGGTATCTATAATGTACACTAGAGAAGGGGTCGTGAAGTCGGATGAAACGTGAAGAGCAAGATTCTGTCGGACCTACTTGAAGGCGAATATATAAAGACACGCAGCAAGAGTGTCCCAAAGAGTATTACCAGCTTCTGCAGTCAAGACATGGCAAGCGCCAGGTGCCCCGGGCACGGTTTCCTCTACAACGGCTTCTACTTGAAACGAGTAATTGGAGTACGGAATCGGATCTTCAAGCATGAATTTGGACTCTACAGTCGAATCCGACGAATTGAATTTATCCTCGGACCACTTCACATATATGTCCGAGATTATAATAAATCTGGTTATATTACATGTGGTGATTGGTGAAGTCCAATATAGTACAATGGAGCCGCCATTTGGTTGACCGCAAAGCAGATATTGTGGAGCTTCTGGTTCTGCAAGAAAAGCTGTCGTTAAGAACTTCAAGGCATTGGATTAAACTCTAGTTACTTTTCGAATACCTACAGTTATGAAAAATATGTGTTAAATTTTAATGTTATATAAACTTAGACAAATCAATTGTTTAAAAAAATTGGAAAAAAGTAATTAATTCTGATAATTCACTGCATTGCATTAAACTCTTCATAAATGAGCAAAGTAAACTAGCAAGTCTCCTTAGTTTCACAACTCGCTAATGACATGCGATCACTCGGAAGCGGGTCGAGAGGACTGCAAACGAATCTAGACGAGTCACCATAAAAATGTTACTCCCTGATTAAGTTTGCACTCAGTTTTTGAATGGCTTCGTGGTCAAGACGGGTGGCACACAAATGAGTATTAATGATAAATGTTTGATATTTCAATCGTGATTCTAAACAATATGGGCAGTACTCCCACCTTCAGCGGGACTCCACTTCATTGCAGTTCTCGCTCCCTCGCCACGGCTGCTGGACGCCGACACGAAGAAGTCGTAAGTCTTGCACTCGATCAGGTCTGGTACTTCGCACTCGTAGCTGTCACCAGGCGTTGTGATTATCTGGCCATCGTCTGCTTCACTTCCGCTACCCGCGAGCTTCCAGCGGATCGTGTACTTGGTGATGATGCCGTTCTCCTCCTCGGGAGCTTGCCACTTCACCAGCACTGATGTGGAGTTGAGAGCTTCGATGTTGAGATCAGTTGGTGCGCTGGGAACTGAAATAAAATCTCGACGTGAATGCGGCAGGAAATATTGAAAAGACTGTCTTCAAGCAAGTCCAACAGGCAAGCTTATCATACAATAGTTGAAGCAATTTATCATAAATGGGAGTATTGTAATTACTCATATCCAATTAATAAGATAAATTTCGAAAACCTAATTGGATATTTGTAAGGGTTTGCATAGTTTAACAATATTCATTGATATTTTCACCCATACTAAGTTTTCTCATGATAAATAAGGATCGGTCTGCTATTGAAGATAGTTGTAAGAAATTACCACTTTCGAATGCATTGCTGCCTTCACTTGTTGCCCAGGTGGTTGCCCCTTCCCTTGTAGCGCACCTTCAAATTAGCTCAGATTCGTACCGGCAGCCGACATAGCAACATCTCTAATCTTACCTGCGACCTGAGTATTGGACTACGCATCTTCAGCGTCCACAGGCTCCTAATCCTTGCTGAGACTTTTATCCTACTGTCTTATAATTTTGTGTGAATGTGGTTTCTAGCAGGATTTACTTAATTATTTATTACTCGTGTATTAACTAGGTAGGATTTATCTTAGGCTCGCCATAATTTACGTTTGGGGATAACCTCCATTTGGGACGTTTAAGGTGGATATAAATTAACTTTGGTCATTTGCTTAGGGTCTAGTATAGCTGTATAGGTAGATGGACGTTTAGGGTGTCATTCCTCCTCTAACTTTTTCCCGTGCATTTGAACCTCCTACTCTCCTGCCTGTCCTTTCTGGTGAGCCTTCCTCCTACTTTACACTCCTCCTTCGTTAGGGTTTCATTCCTTAAGCCTAGCAGTTGTAACTACGGTTCCACACTGAATCCCGAATAGATTTAGGTGTGTGCTATTACTCTCATTTGAATTATATGATATATACTGCCTTGATCATTGCATTTGTCACTCTTTATGTACACGTCATATCTACACGTGTTAAAATCTTGTCTTGTCTGCCTTGTGTCAACAGTATGAACTTAGCCGTTCCTGTGACCCTGTTGCCGATCGCGACCCTTTCCTGGATCTAATTATTGTGAAGATTACAATTTCTTTGAAGATTACAATGTCCAGTTCACCTAAATTCTTGAGTCCGGTCGTAGTACTTAACTAACTCCTTGGATGAAAATTAAATTACCATTAAAAAACTTCCGACGCTTCCCGTGGATGAAGGACCCAATTAAGGAGATCCAACCTTGAACCTCTTCTAATAAAATTTGATGGTTCTCTCATTATAAATCTTTGCTGAACCTAATTATGTAGCTAATTGAAAAATTCCTTACATAGTATTTTTTTTAAATATTGATTATATTACAATGCTTGACCTGTAACTTTTGCGCTTAATACTACTGATTATAAAATTATGTACAGTAGCAGTATGTCGCAAAAAATGTTTACGGGTTAAAACCAATTTTATGATGATACGTTCAGATGTCACTTCAGCCTATACCATTTAAAGACGTGCAACAAGGATAATTCCGGGATTAAAAGTCAAGCCTTAAGAAGAAAGATTAAAGATTATGAAGCTTCCTAGTCTATGTTATCGACCGTTGTTACCGTTCCCATTGGGAACGAACTCCTCGAATTTGACTGGAGATCTGAGTTCCTGGAATTAAACATGATTCGATACTATCTTGTACGTATCTTATCTTGCGCAATAAATATTGCCCGTTAAACGCCACAACGCCGCCCTATTTTATTTTTCAGTGAAATCATTCATGTAAAAATAGTCAACATGACTTTAATAGTCAACATGACTTTTAGTCATGTTGACTATTATTGTATTTTAGTAGTTTTGAAAAACTTCATGTGAACATTTAACACTTGAAGATATTGAAATTTTATTCCTTGCAATGTGTTTGAGACGTACCTAGTTGAAATGCGAAACTCACCTTGAGCCTGCAAGACCTGAATCTGCGGAAGGAAAAGTTAAAAAATGTATAAAAACATTTTGTGCATAAGGAAAATATAGTAAATTTTAAAATAAAACGATTCATGTACAAAATTATAGAAATGTCATGGCATTTTTATTTTTTTGGAAGTGAATTGATCAAAGCATTACAATTATTACAAGGCATTGATCTGGACGCTATGTTGTGTTCCAAATAAGCTGCGCAAAAAAACTTTTACCAATTCTGAAGTCATTACGTGCCACCAAATGGGTTATTAGTGGATTAGTTAACAAATGTCTTCAGAACCCACTAATTGTAACACCCAATTCGGTACATTTTTTGGCGCCCATTTACATATATGATTTTTTTTGATTGCCCAAATCCATTCTAATTGGTTAAAGTTGGACTTGAATAATCACAATGTGCCATAAAACATATGAAACTTGAGTAATGCTGTAAAGGATATGAATTCTGAATAAATTACGATATAAGAATTGAATGACAAATTATCTAATTTGTCACTTGGGTACATGTAGTTGTTAATCTCAAAATCTCTATATAGCGATGAAACAAAATATTGCTATTTGACAGGAGCTCATAATAAGTGACAATCAGTCTATCATAGCGCGTACCTGAAGAGTGAAGGACGCTAGGAGGCAGCATAGGCACTCCTGCAGCAGTGAGAACTTCACCATTTCGCTCCTCTGCCTCAGTTCCAGCAATCGTATTGAAGATCCACGTCAATTGTTTGTGTCCGTCTTATTGCTTCTTACAAACAAAAAATCACGACATTCAGTGCCGGCCAATTCATTTTAATGGATATTTCAATCGCTCATTTTTTCCTCTGTTTTTTGTTGAACGAAGAATTACGGTTCGTTGTATGCGTCGATGCAACTTGTTTTAAATCTGTGAATTAATTCATGCAATTAATTAAAATTATGCCGTTTTTTGCTGACGTGTCATATAATCATGCAGTCACATTCAGTATAATTGTGTTTCTTTCACAGCTAAATTCATTCTAATTAATTAATTTTGGGGGGCTTCGAAAAAATTAAATACGGAGGGGTTACAAGAAGTTCGTGGACTTAATCGAAAATTATTTAAGAAGAATTTGATGCCAATGCACCAGAACGATCCTGTATCAATGTTTTATAACGAGCTCTCACATTAACACTTGAATTAACGGTACAAATGCGGGACGCAAATTTAAAATCAACAACAGTTCATGCAACATGGCATCTGCCGAATTACAGTAGAGTCCAGGTCAAACACCAAATTCATGATGAAGCTTGGGTGAAGGACAGCCGAACATTTGATTATCTGCAACAATTTTATGATGACAGTGCCTCAAGTAAATCAGTAACCTACAAATGAATAAGTCGTTCCAGAAGCGAAAAAAATGAGACCAAAGATGACCCCTGCAGAGGCAGGCTACGCACATCTGTTGTAGGGAAAACATTGATACTGATTGATAAAAGATAGTCGAAGAACCACCGAATTCGTAGCAGAAACACTCAAGATCTCCGAGGGTTGCACACAAACAATTCTGTTGGGCAGTTTGGGAGAAAGCAAATACAAGCTCATCGCTCAATGGGTTCTAAGGCTGTTGCGCCCAGAACGGCAGGAAGAAATGGCACATTTTGCTACGGACATTTTTGAACAAGTGGGTTTAACCCTGAACTTTTTCTTACGCTAATTGCGACTGGGGATGAAACATGGCTCTACCAGTACAATCCCGAGGACAAAACTCAATCGGAGCAGTAGATGTTCAGGGGAGGAAGTGGGCCCGTCAAAGAAAAATCTGAGCGTTCAAGAGGGAAGACTTTCTGTGATGCAGATGAGAACTTGTTAGCTTATTTACTCGGAAACAATAAATATTACAGCTGTTTATAATGGAGTGGTTTTGATAAAATTTTCCATAAAACCGCTGAGAAACGCATTGGGAAGCAGCATCGGCGCTCACTCTTCAACCACGACAATGTACACGCGCATGGCGCTCGGTGGATCAGAGCTTGCTACGCAAATTTCGATGGGGAATCATTCGGCATCCACCTTATAGGACTGACTTAGCTCCGTTCGACTTCTTTTTATTTCCAAACCTGAAAAATCATTGAAATTTAACCAGTTTTCATCAAATGGAGCAGCAAAATGAGCAGCCAAAACATGGTTCAAATCGAATGAAAATTTTACACATATGGACTTAATGGCTGGTATCAGCGTTCGCAGTAATGTATATACCTAGATAGAGCTAGTGTATGAAAAAAATTATGGCTTTGATATTTTTTTCAAAGTGTTGTTTTTGCACGAACTTTTTGAGTACCTTAATATGTACTGTGCAGTGACCAACGACTGCAGTACCTTGACTGCGGGCGCTATCTAGCATTGCAACTTCTATCGCTTGTTATCAGCAGCTCCTGCGATATGCTGAGGAGCTTGTATGTCTATGTATACTTTCCCCGATTGGAGTGAAAAAGACATTTTGCTCAAAGATATTATGATTGCGTGGAATTTATAAGTCATTATTTCCGTTCGTAATTGATTCCCCATAGTTGACTCTCCGCAAGCATCTGTCATATATGAGGAGTTATTACTTCCCATTCAAAATTTCTTCAGTTGGTTTGTATGAAACAAATAAGATGGTTACATCAAATGTGTCTCAAACATTAAAATTGGGGTAATTGTGAGTAAACGCCGCGTTACATTACCACTGAAAATTTGTAGTTTTTGAAGTAATATACGTACTGCTATTATTTGTATTTCCTTCTCTAATTACTGGTATCAGCATTGAAGCACATAACAGTCGTTATCTTGTCCATCAGGAAAAGGGACTCTAGATATGGCCTAGGCTGTTACTCAGTGTATGTTACTCAGTGCATTCAAGAATATTTGTATGAGTCAGATCTTGGCCTAGTCCGATTAGCAATCCGCTTTGAATCATTGCCTACTGACTCTCTATATATGCGCCCCATTTTATCGTAGAGAACATTATTCTACCCGCACAAATATACAACTCATTGGAATCGCAAGTATAATGGAATTGAATTGTAGAAATTTCGGCTAGTTCGAGTTCGATAGGCTATGGTTTTCTGAACGAAAAATGCATTTGTAAAATGCAAAACGCTTCATTTAACTCATTATATAACGACATATGTGCACGGGCAAATGAATAACAAATTTCCCTAATTCGATGAATTTCAATCTCAGTCTTTTGGAAAATTCCGAAACGGATTACAGTTGGGTTGCTGACTGCCCAGTAAGCATTTACTTGCAACATAATAAT